GCTAAATCTGATCAGTTGAGAGAATATTACAATCTATTTACGAGGTAGGAATGGTTTCTATGTTTGGATACATGGTTTTCATTTTGGATATTATTACAAAGGTTATATGGAAATAGAGATGCGGGAATTACATATAAACAACCGTATCGAAAGGCCAGTGACATCTCCTGAGAGTGAACAATTTTGGAAAGAAAATTTGAACAGTGAAATGACTTCTTTATCCAAAGGGAAAATGAAGTGAAAAACTTGATATTTCAATGAAAAAGAAATTGATTGTTTTTCGATGCAAAAAAAGTATACGGCGTTTAACAATAGATAATTTGTTTTATGATATATATTTTTTCATAAAGATAATATCTCGTGCTTATTAATAGACGAAATTTTCAAACAACGTATTATAATGCATCAAATGAATTTACAGTTTTCTTTAACGGATTTTTTAACAGCCTAATTGATGTACACATCTAAATAATATAGGACGTGTGTATATATATATATATATATATATATATATATATATAAATTGATTTATTTAAAATAAGTCTTTTTTTTCGCTACACAGTTCTAACCATGTTTCAAAAATGGAAGCTAAAAGCTACGAATTTAATTTTGTAATTAAAGTTGAAATAGGATTTTAGCTGTGTCTTTAAAACCCAGTAATTTTAAAAGTTACTCCAAAATTCGCTTGAGGATGAAATGGAACTAATTTCTTTAATTTAATTACAAAACCCAAGAAAAAAAAACAAAACCCAACAAAAAAAAAACAAAAAAAAATAGGCAAAAAAAAAACCAACAAAAAAAAACAAAAAATACAAAAAAAACAAAACCCAACAAAAAAACAAACAAAACCCAACAAAAAAAACAAACAAAACCCAACAAAAAAAAAAAAAAAAAAACAAAACAAAACCCAACAAAAAAACAAAACCCAACAAAAAAAATAAAACCAAAAAAAGAAGTAACATGCACAAGACCCCCCAAAAAAAAACACCCCCCAAAAAAAAAAAAAAAAAGAGGCACAAAAAAGCATGTTCATAAAGATAAAAAAAAGTTACATAATAAACAAGACAGAAAAAAAAAACAACAAAAAAAAAACACCATTGACATCAGGAAGGGAAGCAAATGAAACCAATACAGTGGCTCAAATAAGTTTTTTTTCCCGATATTACAGCAAAGTTACAGCAACCAAAATAGGTAAAAAACGAGAAAGTAATTAATATAGAAATGTAACGTTTTTCTTTTTGTATTTTAAAAACTAAAAAGAAAACAAAACAAAAGCTATAATATAAAAAAGATTTTCCAGGATTTATTTTATTTTATTAATCGCAAGGGAAATCTTGTTTTCTTGCAAAAAGTTTCCATTTCGAGACTTTTTCAACAGTAAAGGTTTTTATATTCATTCGTAGCTAGTTATCAGTAAAACGGATGAAAATCTTTGTCAGAAAATTCTTTTCAGCCGTTGGCAATTTCCCTTCGAATTTCTGGCAAGAACACAACTGCCGATCAATGTTGGTCCTGATTTATTTGATGTGTATGTGTCCGCGTGCGCAGAATAACACAAATTATGACGAATGATTGAGGAAATCGATCACCCCCGCTATCGATCGAAGGAAGTTCATCGTATTTAAAGGGTGGGGGAGCTTTTAGTATATTCGTCCCGATAGAATGCTTTTCGGGTATTTCAATTTTTCTTTATGTCCTCTTACCCGCATTTTATTCTGGGAAAGGAATGTTAAAATAGATAAAGCGAAAACTGAAACCCCGAGAAAAGACAATTTTGTCCTCGCCATTGAAGAAAAACCGCCCTTTAAGAATCAACATGGAATTTGAACAGCACCCTGACTGCAGACGATGTTGTTATAGGTCTCAGTTTGATTCCAGAGTACTTCTTTGAGTCGTGTCTTATCAGTACGCAGGTGATCGTTGCTCTCAACAAATTCCTGTCTTTTGCGGTCTTTAAGAAAATTCGTCTTTTCGTTATATTTCCTAATCCCTTTTCTGTCATCAATTTACACTAGCTCGTTAGCTAGGTCTATGCGCTGACTTCCTGCCACCCTTCATTTCAATATGTCCCTGTGGACATCAAATTGTCTAAACCCCATGTGTCAGAAAAAAATGTCAACTGTCGTCCTGATAAGTATAAGTGTCCTTTGTTTCCATTTTCTCTAAAACTTCGTCATTGGTCACATGGTTAATCCATGGTATCCACAGAATCCGTCTGTAGAAGCATATTTCTGCTGCCTCAAGTCTCTTCATCTGTAGAGAGATGCTGAATTGCAAATGTCGTATTTGCAATCCTGCATGAATTCTTGACCAATGAGTGTTTTTCATAATTTACTGTGAATCTCCATAGTAAAATAATTGTTCTAAATTTTGCATTTATATAATCGGACTGCACTGAACCCTTTCGTTTGGTTTCATCGATTTGAGTTCTGTTTGGTTTGATTACGGCATGTCAACCTGAATTGTTTATTTAATACCGACAAGATTTTTTATTGCTGGTAATTTTATTTTTTAAAATGTATTGCTGGTAATACTTCCCTTCAAAAACGCACTGCTGGCAAAGTATTTCTGGTATCAAAACCCATTTTTACACTTTCATGGTGTTCTTTGTACGGGAAATTATTCTAGTAGTAATTCAAAATAATTTGAGAGACCAGGGTCTATCTTGTACGTGAATCAGTTGTTGGCAGAAGCAGTAACAGCAGCCAGTGGAGAGGATATATTTTAACCAAACTATATAATTACTTAAACGCTAATTTGCGTCCTAGGTATGAAAAACTTCTTCCGCGTCCTGGGTAGGACGATAAACTAGATGCAACAGCAAGGCCTGTGATCAAGAGGTTTTGAGGAGCGTGGAACCACATCTCAATTGCTGGTGTTCCCAGGTTCACACAGACCCAGAGTGGTAGCATCTGGTAGGGTCCCAGCTATGGGCAAATAGTTAACCCGGTGTCAAAACACTATGAAAGTTTAAAAATAGGCTTTAATACCAGCAATACATTTTTGTAAAAATTATTACCAGCAATAAGTTTTTGTCTTAGTGGCTTTACTGCCTGACGTGGGTGAAATGATTAATATAATTCTGTGACTTCCTTTAGTTCGTCCGTCGGTTACATCCTATAAGATAGTCATACACTGACTGATCGGGAGCAAATTTTCGGGAGGAGTGCACACAAGTAAGAGGGCAAAAAGTACAGTTTTTATTGGGTGTGTAGCTAAGTACAATACATTATCATTTTTTTTTATTATTTAACATTCAAAATAGGAGTATTAAAATAGTTATTTAATAAAAATGCAATATTTCTTTTTTTTTTTTTTACATATCTGTTTATAGGTACAAGGATCCAGTTTCCTGCTCTCCCTGCGTTTGCGAGAACTATAAACAAATCGCAAGGCTAAATGCTTTAAAAAGTTGGAATTTGGCTCCAGAAAAAAATTTACGCTTGGTCAGTTGTATATTGCATGCTCAAGAGTAAGAAATCCTAAAAGAATATTCTTCGCTGTTAAGGAAAGAAATATTAACATGAACTCTTATAAAAAATTTAAATTAATTTATTAAATCGGGAATTAGGATTTTTGCCAATTATAATATTTTTCCAAACATATCAGCTCATTCAAATTTCATCGATTGGTTTGCGAAATTGAAAGAAAAGTAGACGTAGAAAATCGACAAAAATGTTGGCGATGAATTCAAAAATACGAAATACTGTAAGGATTTTAACACGCATCAGGGTATTGCAAAAACATTCAAGTATATGAAAAGAGAAAGATCTGTTCATGACTTACATCCAATCCTCAGTATATTTGTCAACAAATTGTAGCAAAATATGTACTTTATATGTTATTCATCCAGTAATGATTGCATAAGACAGTTCTTTTTTAATTAAATGTCCAATGTATTTAAATAAAATAGAAATTAAAAAAAGAACGCTTGATAAGATAGTTTTAAGTATGTTGGTTATCACCCGCCAAACGAAAGACTTCGCAAAAGCCAAACAAAGCATTAGTAATCAGGAAAAATTCTTTAGAAACAAAGAAAACAATGCCAAACTTTTATGTAATATCAGAGTAATGAACGCTGGACACTCTCCCCACAAAGAGACTCGAAGCAATAAAAAATATGATTCTACAGAGAATTTGACAGTCACAAGACGTAGAGAAGGCAAGAGAATCATAGGAAAGCAGCGATAAACCTACCTAAAGAGTTTGTGCATATATAGTTAGCAGGACAGGGATTAGAAGCAAAAAGATAAACCTTACTGACAGTTGAAAAGGACAGGAGATTGCAAAATGATATGATTACCCACATCCTGAGGGGACATCACATATAAAACATAACATTATTTTCAAATGTTTTGAACTGATTGATATCAATGACAACTGTGAAACAATCCGGTTAGGTTTAATGTTCCAAGTTCTGCAAGTTTGTCCCACAATTGGATTGAAGCGTTGGTTCGTGAATCAGGTGACCCAGTAAATACAGGTTCAATCCCTCGTCCGGATAGTGTGTACTTGAAAGCAATTGAAACGAGAGGGGTTCATTAAATAATTTATAAGAACAGGACAACAACAATGGGAGCGGAACGACGTTAAAGTGTAGTGGTTTATTTTGTAATGGCTTGTATATATATATATATATATATATATATATATATATATATATATATATATATATATGTAGTAGTACGTGTTACCAATATTTAACTTTGGCTAGGAAAGATGAGATTCAGGACAATGCGTGAACACAATGCAATTATTACTTGACGTCTTGCTTAGGGTGAAATGATTTAAAAAAAAAAAAAGAAAAGAAAAAAAAAAGCAAATTCAGCGGGAATTGGATCTCGTGTAAGGTCGTCCTTAACAGGTTCGCCAGTTCATTTAATATGAAACGCTGGTTTCTAACGTTTACAGTTGTTTATCAGAAAAAGAGCGAGTAATAAAATTATCAGAAAAAAAGAAAGAGCAAAAGAGACAAAAAGAGTGAGATACACATACAAGACACAGAGAGAGACAAAAAGACAGAGAGAGAGAGAGACAAAAAGACAGAGAGAGAGAGAGAAAAAAAGACAGAGAGAGAGAGAGAAAAAAAGAGAGAGAGAGAGACAAAAAGACAGAGAGAGAGAGAGACAAAAAGACAGAGAGAGAGAGAGACAAAAAGACAGAGAGAGAGACAAAAAGACACACAGAGACAAAAAGACACACAGAGACAAAAAGACAGAGAGAGAGAGAGTGACAAAATGACACAGAGAGAGAGACAAAAAGACAGAGAGAGAGAGAGTGACAAAAAGACAGAGAGAAAGAGAGAGAGAGAGAGTGACAAAAAGACAGAGAGAGAGAGAGAGTGACAAAAAGACACAGAGGGATAGAGAGAGAGTGACAAAAAGACACAGAAAGTGACAAAAAGAGAGAGAGAGAGTGACAAAAAGACAGAGAGAGAGAGAGAGAGAGAGTGACAAAAAGACACAGAGGGATAGAGAGAGAGTGACAAAAAGACACAGAGAAAGTGACAAAAAGACAGAGAGAGAGAGTGACAAAAAGACACAGAGGGATAGAGAGACAGAGTGACAAAAAGACAGAGAGAGAGTGACAAAAAGACAGAGAGAGAGTGACAAAAGACAGAGAGAGAGAGAGAGACAAAAAGACAGAGAGAAAGAGAGTGACAAAAAGACAGAGAGAGAGAGAGAGAGAGAGAGAGAAAAGACAGAGAGAGAGAGTGACAAAAAGACAGAGAGAGAGAGTGACAAAAAGACAGAGAGAGAGAGAGTGACAAAAAGACAGAGAGAGAGATAAAAAGACAGAGAGAGAGAGAGAGTGACAAAAAGACACAGAGACAAAAAGACAGAGAGAGAAAGACACCCACACACAAAGGCACCCATCCACACACAAAGACAAAGCGACAGCGAGAGAGACAAAGAGAATCACACACACACAAAATTCTGACGTCATTGTTCAGATCGAAGCTCGTTGGGAAATGGCCTGAGACAGACACGTCGGCATGTTCCTGTCTCCCTGACGCTAGTGACGCAGCAGCAGTGACCATAATAATTAAATTAACGACAACGATCCGGGAAAATTTATTCCAACCTGTCCAGCAGGGAAACTTGATGCCTGCACGGCGGCAGACTGTTAGAAATATCAAATTTTAATAAAGATTGCAGCCTTATGAAATTTGTTGAGTGACTGTACAGAATAACAAGTTGTGAAATACAAGCCAGGCGCTAAATACATTGCCACCATTATTAAAGATGGCGAAAAGAAATGCCTAATTTATATGCTCTTAAAATTTAATGCAATTTGTTTTACCGATTTAATTCTACCTCGTTTTCATGTTTAGTCAGAGAACCAATTCCATAAAAAAACATGGATCACTTATTTGCGTCTATCTTCAATCAATATGTACATAATATATGGCATCTTCGCTATAAGTAATAAACTGTTTTAATATTTTTCCGGTTAGTCTACGAGTGTTTTTGGTATCATGTAACCCACTACTACCAATGGCAAAGGAACGTTGACTTCTTGAAGGAGAAACAGTGATTAAAGAAAGCTTTCAAGTTGGAGGGGGTCGGGAGTGGGATGAACACCGCCAGGTTTTTTTTGTTCAAGTCACGTTATGTAAGAATTGGGTTTTCATTCTAGATATATGAAGGAAACAGCTGCGCAGCAAGAGTACCCGGTCTAAGAATTGGTGATGATAGTGATGATGAACAGAAGCGTTAAAGTAGCGAAGGAGAGCAAGAAGAAGGGACTAAGCATAAACTACAAGAAGACAGAATGCATAGTCATCAGTAAAAGGATGAACCCATGCGATTTACAGGTCAAAGACACTAAAATCAAGCAAGCGTGGAAATTTAAACATCTGGAAAGTATTTTGATAGCGGACGGTAAGTGCGACGCTTAGATCCGAAGACATATTGGAATGGCCAAAGACGCATTCCAAAAGCTAGGCAGAGTATTACGAGACAGGAGGATTTCTTTGGTATCAAAGAAAGCAGTACTGAGCTGCTACGTGACATCTGTCCGCCATCACGCCAGCGAATGTTGGTCGGTCTCCTCAAAGATGAACAGACTCGGGGCGGCGGAAGTATAGTTCTACAGAAGGATGCTAAGGATAACATGGACCGAGCGGGTAAGCAACGATGAGGTTTTGGAGAGGATGTAAACAAGGAGGAAGCTTATACGAGGCAGCTGAAATTTCTGGGACACGTAATGAGAAAGGAGGGCTTGGAGAATCTGATACTCACAAGTCGAATAGAGGGAAACAGAGACAAGGGAAAGTAACGCATGGCATAAGCAAGTGGATGACAGAGCAGGGCCTTGGGGAAGTGGCAAAGGAACAAAACTTATTGAGGACTACAAGGGAGAGGAGAAAGAAAAGACCCGTGATCGCGTATATCCTGAAGGGACACGACACATAAAAGAAAAGAAGCTTTATAGAGTGTTCTTTAACAATGTAAAGGAGCTTGGGGTCATTAACTGGTGTCTGAATAGTCTTCCAAAAGAAGGAATTTTGCCGAGGGAGGCCTTAATAATTTTTCCTCAGTATTGCCGTTAAATTTTCTTTAAAGCTCGACCTTGTGCCACATTCGGTAGCGATGTGAGGGTGCTGAAAAATCTCTATATACTCGTGTATAAGCCGACTTCATGCATAGTGTGATTGTGATTTTGGCATGAATTTTAATCCCTCCAAAACAAAATACGGCCGCCTTTTTTTTTTCAGAAAAAAACCCCCCCAAAACTGATCATAAAACTCGTACTGTACTCGAGTATATATGGAACATTGTCTCTTTATGAAACATGTTCTCAATTTACTGATATAAAAGTGGTTTGTGTGTGTGTTGTGTATAAGTGTGTCTAGGGGGCACAAACAACATTTAGCCTTAAGCAAATTTATAAAAAGATGAGCAGTTAGGTTTTCAGAAGCTATGAGTCAACCTGATGAAAAAGAATACCCGAAGAACAAACGAAAAACAACAATGAGCCGACACTTAATACGATTTCACAGTATTTTTCTTGGTATGACGAAAAACTACATTCAACAGCAAGGAGGTTTTGTAGAGCGTGGAACCAACTCTTAATTGCTCGCTTTCCAAGGTCCACCATAACCCGGGGTAGTAACACATGTCAGGGTCCCAGCTATGGGCAAATAGTTACCCCACTCCACAAACTGGAGTCAAAACACCATGAAAGTATAAAAATAGGTTTTAATCCCAGCAATACTTTGCTTAAAAAATTACCAGAAGTACATTTTTGAAAAAATATTATCAACAATAAAAATCTTGTCCACATTAAATAACCCATTGAGCTTGATATGCCGTAAAGCAAAACGAACAATTTTCAACGATCTTCTAATCTTCGTAACTACATGTCACTGTTGATGACACATTTACACCATTATGAGCCGGACATCAAACAGCAGTCCATTCATTGGCGGAAATCGTGTGATACCACTACCGAAAAGACATAAAAGTCAATAAATGTCATTTTGAAGACTCATTATCTTTAGGAGGAGAGAAAAGTTAATTTATTTTACTTAAGAATTTGATCGCTAGGGGGCGATGTTGAATGGAAAAGCTAGCATCGGGGTGACAAAAGAATCACTGTAAATATCACATAAAGCTTTAAAGTTTAATTAACTCCTATAGAAGTAATGGATTTATTTTTAATCTGACATTTTTATTAAACAGCCAGAAAGACACCAATCTGTGTTAATGCTATAAACACGGCTATGTAAAAATAATTACACCGATGGTCCGAAAGTCTTGTCACTCGTAAATATAATTTTACGTTTCAGATGGCCGGCACGAGTTCCGACAGTTAGGGAGAGAGGCCGCTTTGCAAGTGTATGGACACATGACTTCACTTACTCCATTGTTCTCATTACTTTTTGGTAGGGTGACAAGACTTTTGGACCACCCTAAACAAAATTTATATATATATATATATATATATATATATATATATATTATTCGAAAATTATAACAAATGTTATAATATCACTACAAAAATAGCCATTTTCTACCAACACTTCTGGTGTCTTATCAAGTGATGGTGCTGAATATTCAACGCCATCACTTGATAAGACACCAGAAGTGTTGAAAACAAAATGGCTATTTTTTCTTTATAACATTTTTGTTATAATTTTCGAATAAATAATTATATTTGCTCTACTCTGTATTGAGCACTCTTAAGAATAGTATTTGTTGGTTATTGGAATTTATTCTGTATACACCAATCCTATATATATATATATATATATATATATATATAAACACACACACACACAAGTATAGGAAGCACGGTGGAATAATGGATAGCTTGGATTGAGAAATCGCAGAGCCGAGTTCGAATTCCAGTCGAATCCATTACATTCACTTACGTGCTAATACTCTTGGGAAAGATATGAATCCTCTCCCTCCAGCTATGGGTAAAATAGCAGGACAGACTGGGTTCTATAGCCTTGGATGGCAAATGGTCTAGGAGAAGGACAACTCTGAATTCAAAACCTGCGGAGGGTCGTTTGGTAACCTTGTGGCATTCGGTGCACCAGGTCTCTGTATTCGTCCTTTCAAAAAGTGTGGCTGGTCCTGTACGAAACCTTCACCACTATAATCAAATCTCATGTGTCGTTGTCGGGTTGTCGGTTTCCTGGAAACTGATCTGCTTGACCCTCATACGTCGAATCTCGACGGGAGAGTCGACTATATACGCACACACACACACAGGTAAGATGAGAACGAATAGAGTACAATTCCAACGTTCGAAACATTTAATCTAAAAGAGGGCTCAATATTCTTTATTTTAGGATATTACGTCGAAAAACCCATCAAAATCGCTACACAATTGCAGCCGTGTTTCGTAAAGTGATTGTAAGTTACTGGCGATTGAACGATTTAATCAGGTTTAAAAGCAAAATACAGCCTCCTTTTATGAGAAGCTGAAAGAGAAGAGCGGCTGGTTATGACATTCAATAAACAAACGAGAAACAGTAAGGATAGTGAAATAAATTCGCCATAAAGAGGTGAAGCGAAAATAATTTAGCACAAAAAGGAAATATAAAAAAGGGGGAACCGGTTTCGATCCCCACCAATCAGTGTCTCTCGAGGATAAGCGTGTATAAACTTTCAAGCAATAGAAAAGTATATACATCCTTGCGCGCGCACAGGGCCGTATTATGACCTTTTGGCCCCCTAGGCTAACTATATTATAAGCCTTTCCTAGCTAAGACGAAACCACCCTCTAAGATGCCCGCACCAATTTGAATATTTTTTAAAATTTTTACTAGTGATTTATTATAACGACATTTACATACCTCGAAGTAAACGTATTGCAATTTCTTTAAATAAATGAAAACAGTTCTCTTGTTTGTCCACTGCAGTCGCTCTCTCACAGACGTGCCATTGCCTCTCTCTGTCTTTTTTACAAATACTTTCATGGCAACTGCTCCGATGAGTTGCTTTCGCTGGTTCCCAGACTTCATGAATTTAAGCGATCAACTAGGCTGGCATCTCGCTCTCACCCTTTCACTGTTGAAAATGTTAAATGTAGCCGTCTCTTCTACTCAAATAGCTTCATGTCTCGCACCTCTCACCTGTGAAACTCCCTCCCCCTTTCCTGTTTCCCTGATAGCTATAATCTCCAACTATTCAAATGTAATGTCAATCGACATCTCGAGATGTACTGATCTATCCCCTATCCTTCTCTTCATCCTTTCCTCTATCACTCCTATTTGCTCTAGCTCCAACTCTCTGTAACCCCTTGCTTGGGGTGAAACACTTAAAAAAAACAAAAAAACAAAACTATTCGCAAACCATTTTTTTTTTTTTTTTACACATAGTAAGGTTTACCCTGTGCAAGCCCCGAAGGCCAGTCGAGGTAGAGGGTTATATTAAGAGGCAGTTTATGCGGATAGAAGAGAGATGACGGTGGCTCCTAGACTTGAACAGGTTAAAATTGTAATGATCGGGGAAAAATTCTTTTGGAAATAGATTCCATCGAGCAGTGGTTTGTGGGAAGAAACCTTTAGGGTCGAAATTCCTTCTCACCAATAGAATACAGAAGGAATGTGGGTGGTTTGCCACATTTAATTGGCATGGCGGGTCCTAGGGATGTAGTGCTTCCGAGCACTTTACATGTAAAGTAGGAACAGAGCAATGAGAGAGAGAGAGAGATTGGAGGGTGGAAAATTAGTGTCACCCACGTAACACATATTTTAATATGGATTAAATGAGGAAATAACATTTTTATAACCAATTATATAGGGGCCCTATACTATAGAATAATCCGGACATTTTATATATATATATATATATATATATATATATATAGTGAACATAAAAATCAACATTTGGAGGTGACAATGTTTCATGCTAGACGCAATCGTCAGGTCACTTCTATGTTCCCTTTTATATTTACACACGCTCTATCTCTGATATTGAGCTCTTTATCCCATAAATATAGCACATCTTAAGTCTATATATATATATATATATATATATATATATATATATACGCACAGACACATATGTGTGTGTGTGTATGTATGTATGTCTATATATAAATAAACACATACACAAAAAGAATAAGATGAGTCGTGATTATTTAGGGCCGCTAATGAAAACCAGCATTCTCCCCCACTTGTGCCACAATTTTGTAATTTATTACAAAATAAATATTCATTCAGTAATCTCCTTCTTTGAGTAGGTATTGGTTTAGCAATAGCATAAACCATATTTTGATATGGTTATCCCTGATAGGAGTTTGGTATATTAGTTTAAGCTCCAGAAAAACAGAATGGATTTGCCTGCTCGTCATCTACCCCGACCAGCGGTACAAAGAGAACCCCTATTTGATACGCTAACTTTACACATTTAGCAACATTTAGTAGCAACCACCTCGTCTTCCTGTTTATTATTATTATTATTATTATTATTATTCTACGTGACATGTGTCTTCAGAACGTTGGCGAACCTGATTCTACAAAATTTGCTGTCGTTTGTAATTTGTCTTTTAATTTCCTATTGTGTCTTTGTTATCTCTCCTAAAACATTCTGCTATCGATTTATTCAAATTCACTAGGTAGGTTATACGCTGTTTCCCACTGTGTCTCTTGCCTTAAATGTCCTGTGAGTATCAAATTTTCTAAGCCCTCTTTCCTCATTATGTGCCCTAGAAATTTCTGTTTCTTCCTGATATAAGTTCTTTATTTCCATTTTCTCTAAAGCTTCGTCATGGCTCACCTATTCAGTCTATGATATTCTCATCATCCTTCCACATTTGTTGCCGCATTCATTGCCCTACAGGAGGACCTATATTACATAACAGTTAAACACTTTTTTTATGTTTCTTAGGATTTACTTTTTAATACTTAGCTTATGAAATTCATTGTTGCCTTCGGATGTCAGTGTCACACTTTCCGACATGTTAAAACACTTCCCATATATTTAAATTGTTGTACAGATTGATTAGTTTTCTACGACTTATTTGCAGGTTACCGAAAATCGGAAAATATTTTTAAATTCTAAGAATATTTTAAACATAAATTAGCGGTACAAGTCGTACTAATTAATCCATACCTGGGGACAGAACGTGGATTCATACCTTTCTCAAGGTATTTGCAAATAAGTGAATATAACGAATCCAAGGAGAACTGGAAAAATTCGGAGCCGTTATCCACTAAACTACACGCACATCAAAGCCTATAGCACCTGGTATTCCCAAGCAGTCACCCATCTAGGTATTGCCCAGGCTCGACGTTGCTTAACTTCAGTGATCGTATATAATGTGCTCTTTTCAACGAGATGTGGCC